GGTCCAACCTTGATCCTTAAGAGCCCTTTGAAGCGTTCTAGAAGAAATATCTAGAGTATTTTCTCTTATTAAACGCTTCTTTTGCTTCTTAGGACTTCTAATAATATCTCTATTAATAGCTTTTAAAGCTCTAGAAGATACCTTAGAAACCCTGCCTCTACTAGCTCTTTCTTGGTTAAAATAACTTATCTTCTTTTTTTTAATTCGGTAATTAGCGTTATAAATAGCACGGAGGCTTTTGTTAAAGTATTTAATAATGTTTACTAGTAGTACGTTTGCCTCTAGTAACCTATCGAGTTGCGATTCGAAATTTGATAATTTTGCGTACATAAGAGAAGAATACAGTTCTAAGTTTCTAAAAGAGAAAAGATATTAATATATACTCTAATATTACTAATTACGGACTAATATAGAGCTTATATAAGTAGTACCTAAAAATAACCTTAATGTATTTCTATATATTTAACGTATAAACCATAATAACGAAGATGCTTGTATAATTACTTAGTACGTATATTACTAATATATATAGACTAATATTAAAAAAGTCAAAATTTACCGCGCGAAATTTAGAGCTAAAGTTAGAAGATTTTTGTACTCTACGTTTAAGAAGACATATAGCCTTCCTGGTGCTGACTAAGCAGTGATACTAGACCACTACCTTAAACGACAAGAAATTCTCTATTCAACGATATATTTTTTATTAGTTTAGCGCTAATACCCATTGAGCAATGGATGTTTAAAAATCACAACTTTTTTGAGTTCTTTTTTTTTGTCACCCCACTGTAGTAAGTATTCTCTAAAAGTTCTAATCCGCGTTTAACTATAATACTCATGCTAGCTAAGTAGATATTACACGCGTTAACGTTATCTACGATACAAATCCTAGTTAGATCTATAGGTATAGCATAGTCTACTAGCCAAAAAACACGCAGCTTATATAGCCTATCTAGTATCTAGTGTTGGAATAAGGGGGTGATACTTGTTCTATAGCTAGCTCAGAGGTAGCTGTGTCTACTTGTCTAGCGATAGACTCAGAGGTAGCGAATCGATATGTTTTAGATAGGAAAGAAATAATGCTAGGGGAGGGAGACTAAAGAATTGAATTGATCCGATCTGTTCTTATGATCTGCTCTAGTAATCTGCTCTTATTTCTATCTACTAGCTATTCAACTACTATATATATTAGCTGTACTAGGTTCTAGAAGAATCTGTAACGGCGCAGACAAGACTACTCAGATCAGTATCGGCAGTAGTGTCACTCAGAGGCATATGGGAGTGCGTGGGACGTCAAACGAGCCTTAATTCGAATAGACACCTATAGGCCTTGTACGAAAGGATATCAAAAATCTATCGAGCTACTATGGAGAACGGGTGGGGTTTTATATCAGCAGATCTGACCTAGGCTAGTTCGTGCCTATGTTCGGATCCCTTTCGGATGTTGGTTCGGTAGGTACTCGAACTGTTACAGAATCTATCTAGTAGTAGATTACGTGGCTATAGTCGTAATAGATAGATAAATTAGTTTAGGGATCGATTGATTGAAGAATCCGGGTGTGGTGCCGAGCACCCGGATTATGCTAGAGATCAGCTAATTAGCTTAGATCTCCAACATAGAGGATATTATTCTAGAGGAGATTTTATTTACCTCTAAGAATATTGCTAATCTAAAAAACTAAGCTTAAGTACTTAAACACGATGATAAGGATGAATATCTATTAGTAATGTAGAAAGTGTAAGGGGCTGCGCTCCGGGGAGCAATCGCGAGGTATACAAGAGGTTGTATTCGATGAGGAGCTATCTACTCTACTTGCTTGATGTTTATTTACTCATCGGAGAAAGGTTACTGCATGTGGTCAGTGCGTGCAACAGTTCAGCCAATGCAACACTATCTGCCCCATCAAAATATCTACCCATCATTTTCAACACGTGATATCTCCACCACCATGACAGCTATCGAGAAAGCCATTGCGGCAATTAATTCGCAAGATATAGAAGGTTAACTCTTATATCGCGCAGTTATAAAAAGATTTAGTATTATAGTTATAATATTAACGCGCTAGCACTAAAATAAAACCTAGTCGCGAATAGCAGCTGCAAAAAAACGTTAATTACTTACTCCACTATAAGAATCTGAGCTAGTAAAATATATAGAAAAACTATCAAAACGTAGGATACTACCTTCTTAATCTATAGTTAAAAATTATATAGCTATTATTACAGAATAAGAGCTCTCTAATAGCTAGGTTACTCGTTTTTTGCACCGTTACCACGATAACTTATATATTAGAAAAGCTACTAGTATTAACCGCGACCGTTATCTGTAACGATGTTACAACTTCGCCATGTATCGGACCAATCCCAGAGCCGGATCGGAGGTAGTACTCGCCGCCCTCTTCATCAACCACTCGTTGTGAGGTCGGATCCGATTCGGATCCGACTAAGATAAGTATATAAGGAGACACTCCCTGTAGCTAGCTCTGTAGACTTTTGATATCCTTTCGTACAAGGCCTATAGGTGTCTATTCGAATTAAGGCTCGTTTGATGTCCCACGCACTCCCATATGCCTCTGAGTGACACTACCGCCGATACTGATCCGAGTAGTCTTGCCTGCGCCGTTACACGTATTCTTCTCCTTCTTATAATAATAAAGTCTCTAGAGATTTCTAGGTTAGCAGCTTACTAGCTTTCTTCTCTAAGACGGTTTAGTTCTAGAGTCAGACTAATTTCTAGAGTAGTTCCTTAGAACTACTAGGTTTTTATAGGTTAACTATTAGCGGTTATCTCTAAGATTAATAGGTTATTAGTAGTCTCTAAGTCTCTACTATAGCGTACTTAATACGACTTTTACTAAAGTAATTTATCTCGCGAGAAGCGTAGAAGTTCTAAACCTAAAGGCTTTAGCCGGCAGAAAATTAATAGAGTTCTATCTAGGTAAATATTAGATATAATAGTGTAAGGTTCTAGATTAACTCTAAATACTTAGTTTTAAACGTAGTCTAAATAGTCAGCTACAATATGATTTAAATACCGTCACTAGCAGTAGTAAGACTTTTAATATAATATAACGGCGCAGGCAAGACTACTTAGATTAGTACTAGCGGTAGTATCACTTAGAGGCATATGGGAGTGCGTAGGACATTAAATAAGCCTTAATTTAAATAGACACCTATAGGCCTTATACGAAAGGATATTAAAAGTCTACAGAGCTAGCTATAGGGAGTGTCTCCTTATATACTTATCTTAGTCGGATCCGAATCGGATCCGACCTCACAACGAGTAGTTAATAAAGAGGGCGGCGAATACTACCTCCGATCCAGCTCTAAGATTAGTCCGATACTTAGCGGAGTTGTAACATCGTTGCAAGTGAGGAATATCTATAACTTAGTGCGACTTCTTTCGTACTTTTCTAGAGTTACTATCTTTAGCTTCTTAAGTAGTTTCTTATTTAAGGTAGCTATTAATTAGCTTATAAGTTAGTTAATTATATTCTGTAACTTAGCTATCTGCTATGCTTAGGCTTAGCTCTCGCGTCTAAGATTAATAAGTTCGTACTTAGGGCTCCTTACCGCCAGCTCGTTATTTCCCTCTTAGGTACTACTAGTTATGTTAATATCTCCCTTAGGCACTAAGCCTAGGATGTAAATATATTCGCTTAAATTTCCTGATATGGTTTAATCTTATTTGGACGCTGCTAGTTAATCCTCCTTCTACTAGATCCGTAGGTGGTTAAAGTATTATACGGGGTATAGGTCTATACTTCTCTATTTTAGTCCGCACTAAGGTAGTTGAGTATTACGTTAGTGTTCCGTAAGGCTTATCTAGCGATATAGTAGAGTTTCCGTGCTTAAGGAGGGTTTAATAAGACTAATCTATTTAATAGACTAACTTGTGACAATCTTGTTAAGTAAAGATACTAGTAAGTGTAAAGATGTTACATGCCTATATATATTATACTACACTAGAATAATCAGTTCAGATTATTCTCGTGCTTACCTTTTGCTGGTGGGCTGGCTGCGGCCAAGTGGTTGTCACGTAGTATTGACTTAGTGGGCATTGGTGCCCACCTCCATTACAGTAAGAAAGTATAATTTAAGTTAACCACAACGAGAGTAAATAATGAAATCCATCCATCCTTATATCCTCATTGCTTCCAGTCCTGACATCTGGCTAAGCCCTTGACATCTCTAAGGTCGCTGGCATCTTCAGATGTCCTGGCATCTCCTGAGGGTCTGGCATCTCCAGATGTCCTGTCTTGGCGAGATGCCAAGTCACGTGATCAGCGCCCCGCGTTGATCATTACCTTCTGACGTGGACGTCCATAGGCCTTCCGCTATCTCGTCATTTGTCAAGGAGAGAATCCTTCTTGTTACTTGTAACACTATCTAGTGGTTAGGCTCTGGTTGAGCCACTTGGTGGGGCGGTAGAAGAGAGAGATTGCCGTACGCGCTAAGTAGCGCTCTTCTCTCTACTATTGATAGCTTATGTTGGCGCTTAAGGTGCTCGTCTACGCCATAAATAGCACAGCGATGCTCAGGGCAAATACGAACATAGTAGGTAGGTAGATAAGTAAGCATGGTAAGTAATGAATGTAGATATAGATATAGATATAGATATAGATATAGATATACATAATTAAAGTAGCTATTGGTAAGTATTCTATTGCGTTTGCGTTATATCGCGTTGCGCGGAGTTAGGTTGCATTAGGTTATACAATAGAGTAAGTAGCTAATACGTATGTAGTAAGACCCTGGTCAGGGGCTTTATAGGGGGCTTAAGGGAGTTTCTATGAACGCTTAGGCCAGCGGGGGCTTAGTGAAGAGGATCCAGCACGAACAATTAGCCTCTCTAAGGGGTTATTTCCAAGAGAGATATGGGCGATGGGGGGGGGGGGGAGAGAAAACTCACCAGGAGGCATCATGAAATAATAAAAAATAATATTGTCTACGTTAAGGTGAGATGCACATCCTATATTTTGTATACTAGGAGTAACCTCAGTTCAAATCCTTACTCCGTTTATATTCGTTTCTGCGGATTTCCCGTCCTCTTCTTCTAATCTTGGTGTCGGTGTTAACTCAGTTATGTCGTTAGAATGCTTCTGCCAGCCTGTACATAGCCGTAGAAGAGGCCTCAAAGTCGGGATACACACGCAAATGATGGCGCAAGCGACTTCAACGGTTGACCATAATACTGTATTTTGCATAGCCCAGGTTGGATCATCGCTCATAGTGGATGATCGAAGTGTAGTAAGGCGGATAATGGAGATCGCGCAAGTGCTGGAGCTGGTATAAGCTCACCATCAAATATCGCCAAGAGACTCGGGACTTACAAGAAACCCAGGGAGAAGATTCCCATCAGCACTCCTTTCTGTAGCCTCGGCAAAGTCAATGTTTGCAGCAGCGGCAGAGGCATGGCAAAAATGGCTGCATCGCTGACAACGTGCAGGACGCCCATTGCGTACCAGAACCTCAACCGCTCTTTACAGTCTTTGTACCGTAATGGATCCCAGTTTGATTTGATAGGCGGACAGTTGAGCAAAGACCCCAACGTTGCAGCAGTAGCCCAGATGACAATAAAAACAAGAGACGCGTCGCACAATCGTTGGAAAATGGGCAGTGGGAATACGCGACGGTATTGCAAAAGAAAAGTGATCTTAAGCATCATTATGAGTGCTCCGTACATAACTGACGTAACCCACATAATCTGCAGCATGATAATATGTCAGCGGTGACCCCAATGCACTGAGGGTTGACGAACCTTGAGAAATTCAGATCTCTCTGGGAGAGTGGTAGTGTGAACATGGCGACTCAGTCCATATCGTATGGCTTCATAATAGTTAGGGTAATGTTGAAAGCGACAGTGTATCTGTATACATACAGCCCAAACACAGACCAATGCATACAATATAAACAACCTGCATTTCTTAGTCAATAGTATTGATCAAAGGTTGAAGAACCATACCAGCCCTGCTAACAGAAACCAATCATCAAGGCCCAGATTCCTGAGGATCTTTCGTCGAACATAGCCTCGTAAACCCACCATTACCACCGAGGTTACCAAACATATTGTGGCCACCAATATCACCCTCCAGGCATAGTTCTCGTCCGCATCTGCCAGCATCTGTGCTATGGAGGCCCCTACGACTACCCGCGTGATTGTGAGTTCTTGAAGGTTAGTGTTATGGGGACGCTTGCATGCCGGGCAGCATCATTTACTCCCTAGCCTAGCTCGTGAAACTTGCACGGTGCTAGCTTCGTGGGCCATGGATCGATCTACACACCTCAACAAATTTGCCTCAGACCTCAATGTCATCACGATAAAAATGGTAATAAAGAACAAACCTTAATTTGTTTCCCCACACGTGGCTCGTTGGATATGCCCTCTACATTGGCCTGCGCTGATATGGCTCGCTTTGCCCCAGCCAAATTCCTTGCGCGGGGTGCAGCCAATAAAAGCAGAATTATGCGCTTGAAGGCGCCACATAAGACCACCAATGGCGTCAGGGTGAGCGGAATGTTAACGCCACGCAATCTCCTTGGCTGACTCAGGGCCTGTTCGGTGTCCAGTTTCAGTCCCAGTTCCAGTAGTGGCGTTTTTAGTCGAGATTGGCGTCCAGTTGAGCTATACCAAATCTGATCAGGAAACTGGCCAACTGTCCGGCAGCCAATTTTTCAGTTTCAGTTCGCTAGCGGGTTGATGTCGACTTGTCATTCTTGCCTGTCACCCGTCAGTCAACATTCTCAAACATGGATCAAGGATTATCATCGCAGTCCGCGCCGTCCGCTCATATGTACGCCACGATCGCCCGGCGATCTCTATCAGTCGTCCCGTCGCTGTCGCATCTACTTACGGTAAGTAACAGGGTTGATCTTTCACTAGACAATGTCTAAATCCTTCGTGTCAACACTAACAAACTGAACCCAGGTTTTGTGAAACTGAAACTGGGATTTTCCGAACGACTCGTCAGTTGCAGCTTATGCTTTAATGCCAACCTGTAAAGATCACAAACTATGTTGTGCTAAAACCCTTAACGTCTGGGACGAGTGAGTGACTGGACATGCCAAGACCCCACCAACTTTGACCACAACACTACTATTAGACGTGATACAATTACGTGTTTCACTTACGGGCGCAGCCCATTACACTGATGATTATGAATCCGAATACCCTTAGCCTTGTCATAAGATTACAAAGCACGTAGCAGTAAAGAGCTATTAAGGTGTGTAGCTTTTAAGGTGCGTGTAGCTAGTAGGGTGGCCAACTCGCTTCTAAGCTGTGTTACTAAGTCAGAGAACTCTCCAATTTATGACGTACGCTTGGCGTTTGTGGAACTAAACCGATTTTTATCTTTGCTCTTATGCACTGCTAAAAACTACATCCTAACTTCTGCACATTTCCCCCAAGTAATGATAAATGCTAATTCTATTACTATTATCTTTTCCCCCTATCATGTTGGCCTTCGTGATTACCGTGTTGGTGACGGTCCTAACCGCATTCGAGCTCTAGGGGTCGTTAAAGAGCTGGAAAAACTCGGTGTGATGGTACATATACTCAAGCTTCTATTAGTTAAGGATTTTGAACGGGAGATAGGCCGTAGCTTTAAGCTACTCCGGCGGACGTCTAAGGCAGTAACAGATGTGTATGCTAAGCAATCCTTTCCTCTTGTTCTATTAGGAAATTGTATAGTAAGCGCTAGAGTTGCTTATAGGCTAGGCCTCAAAGATCTTAGCTAGATCTACTTTAACGCATACAACGATATAGATACATTATTAACGAACACGAACGGATACCTGGATTCTATGGGCCTATCAATGCTGTGGGGGGGGGGGGGGGAAGCTTCCATCGTTTAGTAAACACGATTCCTGGATACGCTCCGTATAAGTATAATACATAAGATAATCTACTACGGTCTTCGTGATATCGATAATAATCAGAAAGAGACTATACGAAAGGCTAGAGCAGAAATTATCTAGGGAGAACTAGGCAAATACGTTGACTTTGTAGGTAAGCTCACGAAAGCTCTAAGTAAGAAGGATTATTCGCCCGCTTTAATCCATCTTAACCTTAATATCTGTAACGGGCTGAACGCCCTTTAGATAGCTCCTCGATGAGATCTCGGTTCAAGCTGCGTGCGCACCATCCGAACTATGTTCAGATGACGAGCGCAGAATCCGGGTGTCACCCAGAGCACCCGGATTCTTCTCACCGCCCGAGCAGCGCTCAGATAACGCGCTTAGATACTTCGGCATACTGCATGTGGTCAGTGCGTGCAACAGTTCACCCAATGCAACACCCCACCAAAATGGGTGCCCGCCAAAAAATGAAGCTTTTGACCACCACCAAAACGTTATTATCGCGAGATATTTTGGTGGAGTACTGCCGTAATCGTATATTTGATATCTATCTACTGATATTTGCTAGGTAACTTCACGTTGCGGCCGCGCGTGGTAGTTTTAGTAAGAGGCTTAGCAGGCGGTAATGTATTACTACTACTACTTTTAGCCTCTACAATATAACGCCGCTTTAATGTTTTTTTTATTCTAAGTTAATAAAGCTTTTCGTTTAGCTATATTCTGCTTATCACGAGCTTTTGGTGCGGTTGTAGTAGCGCAGTCTTATGCCTTTTAGGCACGCGCGGCAGCTAGTTATGTAGCCCTCGCAGTCTACTTCTCCTACTATACTACTTTGGCCATTTCGCGATGCTTACGAGTAGCTTATGCTATCTATTTTTTATATACAGCTACGGTAGCTCGCTTCTCCCTCTAGTATTTTTTTTAGAGTATTTTTTCATGCTCGTGCTGTTGTTCTACTGCCTTACGGGCTCTAGCCTCTCTTACTAATCGTGGGCTCTATATCACCGCGGTGCTATAATACTTTTCGTGCTGCTATAGATTAAGAAGTTTTCTTTTAGATTTACAGCGTTTTCTAGTAGTAATACTACTACGTAGTTCCTCGTTTTTATAGTATAAAAGCTCGCTCTGAGTCTGTAATAAATAGAGCTGTTTGTTAAGAGTATAGCTCGAGTGGAAGTAATATTAGACTTCTGGTGTCAAGCTTCTTGTTGGTTAGTTTTCGCAGATAGAGAGACAGTGTGCGCTGGATAGTAACTTAGGCAAGTATAATATTATATTATACTTATACTTATAACTTAAGTTAAATACATTAAGCTATAAGGGCTTAATATCTAATGCTATATACTAGAGCTTTATACAATATGCTTAGTTGCTTAGTAGTGCTAAGATATACGAATCACTAAGCATCTTGCAGGCGATATGCGGAGTGCTCAGTTGCTTAGTAGTACTAAGACATACTAATCACTAAGTATCTTATAGATCACGTGATGCGCTAGTCCTAAATAAGTGTCTCTGTTTCTTGCTGCGGATTCGCCGTCTCATAGATTACTCGTTAAATAAATGTAACAGCGAAATGTCCTCCACATTCTAAGGCTGATCGTGTAACGGCGCAGGCAAGACTACTCGGATCAGTATCGGCGGTAGTGTCACTCAGAGGCATATGGGAGTGCGTGGGACATCAAACGAGCCTTAATTCGAATAGACACCTATAGGCCTTGTACGAAAGGATATCAAAAGTCTACAGAGCTAGCTACAGGGAGTGTCTCCTTATATACTTATCTTAGTCGGATCCGAATCGGATCCGACCTCACAACGAGTGGTTAATGAAGAGGGCGGCGAGTACTACCTCCGATCCGGCTCTGGGATTGGTCCGATACATGGCGAAGTTGTAACATCGTTACAGCCTTTAAAGATAGCTCTCTTAGGTAATATAGATCGATCGATCTGATCTGATAATTTAGATACTAAGAAACTTAGATATATTACCCAGATCTTTAATCTCTAGATCTGATATATCCGATAGATCGCGGAATAGATTCTTGATCTTTTGCTCGTTTTCTCTAAATATAAGTAGATTATCTATATAAGTAGCGATTATAATCTTTTGATCGCAATTGATATATATAGCTGTATTAATGGATAGAGATTGAAATTCTAGTTAGCCTAGTAGGCTTGCTAGTAGTTTCTGCTATTGTCTACTGGCTTATTTTAATCTGTATAGTGCCTTATTGAGTAGGTAGACGTGCTAAGGGTATCGTGGATCTAAAAATCCTTCTAGTTGCTCAATGAATATCGTGGTATTGATAAGAGCATTTAGGAAAGCTTGTTTGATATTCTAGCTTTGAATAATCTAGTCTTGAGCTGTAGCTATCGCTAGTAGTAATCTAATAAGATTAGGCCTAGTAGTATTGGCGAACGTTTCTTGATATTATTATTATTATTATTTTGGTTTTACGTCCTGTCTCAGCCGGTGGGCTATATAAGA